TCTCCCTCTCCCACTCCCCCTGCTTGTGTTCCCTCTCTCGCTGTGCCTCTCTCTGTCAAATAAATAAATAAAATCTTTAAAAAAAAAAAAAGAAAGAAAGAAAAATAATCCTTAAAAATATCCTAGAGTTTTCTCCATGACAAAATTTGAAAATCTGGAAGTGGCATTCTAATAATTATGACAAAATCTTGAAAGAATAGAGTTGTCTCTGTGAAAAAATTTGAAAATGTGGAGATGGCATTTTTACAGAAATTTTAACAAAGTCTTTAAAGAATAAATTTTAGCAAAACTACCATATTAATTCAGAAAGCCAGGATTAGCTACCTAAACAGAGTCTGTTGTACACTTTCAGCACAATGAACGCTAACGCCTTCCAAGTAATGACATCAGATTCCACATTCTCAATCTTCTCACCTTTCCGAAGGCAGATGCTCCAGCACAGATGTGCGTGTAACTGAACTGCTTCTGAGTCACCAGAATCAATGGCGTCAGCTCCTCTGAGAATTAAACACATTTGATAAACACATTTCATAATATTTTCATATTCTTATATTCAAGCATACTTCAGACATTACACTTTTTCCACTGGAAAAGCTCACCTGGAAGGAGGCCTTTGTATGTATCATGCTGAGCCACCAGAACTTTTGCTACACCTGCTACTTTGCAGAGATCTTGTACCACCTATAATTAAAAGTTTTTAATTATCCATCTAACAGAAAGATACAAATAGAGCCACCACTACAAATATCAACAGAACATAAAATCTGATAGCCAACGACAGAAATAATTTTTTTTAAACTACAGAAATTGTTCTGAACAGAAAAAGGGTGACGTAAGTGAAAAAAAATTCTTTAACAAAAAAAAAAATCTTAGGCCAATTGATCTTACTACCAATTATCTTAAACAAAAATTCCTGCCTTGGAAAAGAAAAGTATTAATTGATAAGCCAAAACTGGCACAGCTCTCTATGCAAATGTAGTTATAAATTGTGCTTTTTACCTTTCAATTAATGCAAGTATAAATTCATCATTGTAGAAATGGTGAAAATGAGGCAATGGTTAGGTTCTCTCTCACACACACAATAATAACACAGCCAATGGGTTTCCTAGAGGTAAAGAATAGGACCTAACCACACTGGTTTACAGGCCACTGCACTTTATTTGGCAATAATAATTTCTGCTGAATTTAAAATTAGTGAATTTAGGCAATAGAAAAATCTTATGTAACAGTCCATTGTCAACTTCTGAGTTCCTGCCCACCTACATATATTTATCTATGATAAAGCAAAATAATTTTTTAATTCCTCATTTTTCCTGTGTGGAATGAGAATGAAGTTCTGGGAAAGCTTTTTGACTACTCAGATTTCCTATATATAAAAGGCAAGTAGAATTCCCCCTTTTAATTCTCTAATTACAGCAAGACTGGCTTTCGCTTTAGCAGAGACCTAACAATCATATCATGGTCTCTGTCTTCTTGTTTACCTCCACGCTGATTCACTGATGAGTAGGCATAAAAAGCTGTGCCTCCTGCCCCCTACTCAATGGAAGGTAAGGCTGCAACAATAGTCACTGTTTCCCAGATAGCAAAAAGTACCTCTGCTGAACCAAGTATGGCAGACTATCCTGCACTACCAAAACTATCTTTTTTACCAGCAAAAACTTCTGGCACTACACAGAAAAATCACTTGCTGCTTACGATAAATGACTACAAAAAACAGTAGAAAACTGAAATCTGCCTAAGCTATTAATAGAATTTCTCTATACAGGTACTGTTTTTCTTTCAGATTAGAAGGCGACAAAACAATAAGATTGTAACTAAAGAGAAAATGGTTTCTGCTTCGATTTTTCTCAAAACAGTGTGAATAAAATAGCATTTCAAATAGTTTTAAAATATTTGAATAATTATTTAAAATCACAGCCAAATAATCAAACCCAGAACTTGTATATCTAAAAGCAGGGCAACCAAAAAAGATAGCTTAGCCATGTCATCACACCTTCTGGTTACTATCAAATAAATAAGATTCCTAGTTGTTAGCAGGATTTAGGTAAAGAAACCCATACAACTTAACCCCAAACCTGCTAGAATACATTCTTTCAGGATACTAATTTCATGTAAGAAATTAGACGGAAGTGACACTAGCATTCTGAACCTGCATTATAACACATGCTCTGCATCAATGCCCTTTAATAAAAAATAAATAAAATCCTCTAAAAAGAAACATGCTTTCTCCAGATTTCTTCCTCTGAGGTCTAAGTCCCCAACTGCACACTTGGCAATTCCTGTATGGTACAGGAGGGAATTGGTAGCTCAACTTAACTGAGGCATGATTTCAACTACACTGTAGCCCAGTGGTACAGATTCTGCAAACCATATTCTAGAACCTTCCTAGAGGGTTAGTTTACAAACCTGTTATCTCATTTCAACAACAACAACAAAAACAAAGAACACCTTTTACTAACAGCTATAGTTTGAAAAGCATAGTACTTACATTTGAATTCTTACACCAATTAAAAATTAATATCCATGATACTTTGTCCAGATTTACCACTTTCAGGAATTAAAAGCAATTAGCTGGTATATTCATCAATACAAAAAAGGGATCAGCTATTAACCTCTAAGGAGACTCAAATATTATCATTCTACTTGGTACCTGATGGCACATGATGGTGCCAGTGGAACTAAATCAAGTATTTTACCTCATTTCAAAAGACAAAATGCTTAGTGAGCAAACCTTTTAGTTCCTTTTTCACATGTAGTAATGACTATGACACTGGCCATTTAATGAGGATTAGAGCTCAGTTTGGGTTACAGTCCTCAGCATAATTCTCTGTTGCCATCTTTCCCTGTCTCTTGATGGAGATTATATTTGCTATGGTTGACCTTAAAAATTTCTCACCTTGTCACATTTGGTTCCAGCTACTAAGCAAGACACTTCACCTCCAAGACGTTTGGCTGCAGTGATGGTATTTAATGTAATGGGTGCTAGGGTATCATTTGCATGCTCGGCTATTACCAGGGTACTCTGAAATCGTAGCACTGAGGCCTAAAAGGAAAAAAAAGGTGGAAAAGAATATTGTAATACAAATAGGTTTTTAAAACTCTAATTATTAAGCATGTATGCTTTAAAAAAACCGTACACAACACTCAGTTCTATAAATGTATTCATAAAGTACTTACTCAATGGCAAAAATTAAGCTATTTGTGTCTATCATTCTATTACTAATATTCTTACTTAATAAAAACAAAGTGCAAGTTTGTATTCTGTTAGAAAAATTTAATTATTTCAAAACAACTTTCCCACTAATCTATGTTTCTGAATATTGTGTGTTCAATGAGAAATTGCTAACTACATCTAAATTTAAAATTCTTAAGTAGAGGGGCGCCTAGGTGGCTCAGTCAGTTAAGCATCCAACTCCTGATTTCAGCTCTGGTCATGATCTCAGTGCCATGAGACAGAGCTTGGGATTCTCTCTCTCCCTCTCCCTCTGCCCCTCACCCCCACCCCCGCTCAGGCATGCATGCTCTCTCCCTCAAAAAAATAAAATAAAAATAAATAAAATAAATGTAAAATTCTTAAGTAGAACATATTACCTATCAAACTAGGAATCAAACTATTACCAATTACATCCACTTGCAGCACAACTGCTAAAGATACAGTATATCCAGAAATAATGGGTTTGAAATCAATTACTATAGTCAATTTCTATTGCTTTCAGGCAAAATGCATTCAATACCCAAATAACTGATAATGTAAATCTGTCTTTAAAATACAATACCACACAGTAATTTTGCTGGGGTTCCAACTGTTTAAACATACTTCTGAATTCAAAAAAGAAGCTTGCAGACCATATCTTGGAACCAACCAGCATCCACCTATATCTACTGTGGACTATCAAGAGACCAATAGTTCACGGTCATCTGGAATAATTCAAACACCAGGAACACAAAGATGAACAAGAATGGTCACTCTACTCAAAGATTTTAAGGGAAATATGACTTGTTTACATACAATTATGAGAACAGTTTTTCAATCAATGAAGAGATCCAAAAGGCTGGAGGTTGCAGATCATGAAATATAGAATCAAGAGGAAGAAAGGAAGGATTTTAGGTGTTCCTGTCATGTGAAAACATGAGGAAGGGCACCATAGATGTGACAAAATAAGAAAACTCTGACCTATCCTTGTGAAAAATCACTATGAGAAATGAGAAAAGGAGGCACTGAGGATCAAGTAGCATGGTTGTAAGGCTTAATTCAGCAATAATCTTTAATCTGGAGCTGGAGTGAGGAAAGCATGGTACAAAATTTACACCAGAGCGGGAAATTTACAAAGGAGGGAATGAATGAAAGGCAGACAGGCATGGGACTATAATGCTCATTACACAATTAAATTTACAAAATCAATATTTTTTTCATTTACTATATTGTAAATACCAATTGCTATATTTCAATATTCTTTACCTTTTTATTGCTGTTAAGTATATGAGCATACCAGTTTAACCAGTCCTATAATCATTTGGGTAGTTAGTAATTTATTATTTTTTATAAAGATTTTATTTATTTATTTGAGAGAGTGAGAAAGCACAAGCAGGGGGAGCAGCAGAGAGAGAGGAAGCAGACCCCCCCCCCCCGGGGAAGGGAGCCCAACATGGGGCTGGATCCCAAGACCCTGGGATCATGACCTGAGCAGAAGGGAGACGCTTAACTGAGCCACCTAGATGCCCCAGTAGTTTTATTATCATAAACAATGCAGGGGCATCTGGCTGGCTCAGTCAGTGGAACATACAACTCTTGATCTCAGGGCTGTAGTTTGAGCCCCACATTGGGTGTAGAGATTACTTTAAAAAAATAATAAAATGCATAAAAACCAAACAATGCAGAAAAGACCATCCTTACAGCTAAATCTCTGCACTCATCCTCAACAAATGAGAGTTTGTTTTAATCTTGAAAGACCCTTCTGATTGGAACCTGGCCAGACCTTAGCTGCTCTCCTTCCATAGACGACTAAGCCAGATTCTCTGCAACCTTCAACAAGCTATAGGGACCCTCTTCCCATAAGCTTTCTACCTGTACCAGTTCATCCTCAACCTTCTCCTCAGTCTTCTCAACCATCTCTATCCTTGATGAACCAATCCCAGAGCTGGGGACCAGAGACTACAGGGATATGCGAGAGGAAGGAATCACTGCATTATATATCATGGATGGCATTTCTTGTCTTTTTCTTCCCTTTCTGTTTACTCAAAGGAAGCAAGGAAGGAGGTGGGGGATGAGACTTTTGTTGTTGCCAGATCAAGTACCTGCTTGTATAACTTTTTCTTTTTTACAATAAAAAAAATTGCCTTCTTACAGGAGGTGGGTTAAAGTAAGAAATCTTTATGCATATCTTACGATTATTTTCTTATAACAAATTCCTAAAAATGTTAGATCAAGAGGTAGGCACACTTTTAAAGCTTTTAATACTGACTGACACAAACTGTTCTCCAGAAAATTGTAGCAATTCACAACAGTTTACAATTCTTTGGATGGAATGAAAGTTCTTAGAAGGCAAATACCATGCCTATTCAAAGAATCCAGTACAACTTTTTTAAATATACATCTGTAGAAATATATAGTACTTTCTCTTTTTTAATCAGAAGATCACAGTATCTTTTGCAAAGAACTCTAATTAGGACTCAGTGGCATAATTTATGATTTAAATCACATTTCACAAGAATTGCCAGTAACAAACTCCTTATTACCAATACATAACAGATACCATATTTTTTATTATGTTTCACACATCATTTATTATAAAAATTATGAGATTTCCATCACCATTTCAAGAATAAATCCAACATTTGGTGGCAGAAGGCCCATATTTGCCGTAAATTATAGTTCTATCATAAGATAAATTAGGCAGTTCTCCCAAGGAATCATCAAGGTTTTTGGAACTTCTAGGGGGACACTGTATATATATATATATATATTTAATTTTTTAAATTTTTTTAAAGATTTTATTTATTTATTTGACAGAGAGAGAGAGACAGAGAGAGAGGGAACACCAGCAGGGGGAGTGGGAGAGGGAGAAGCAGGCTTCCTGCTGAGCAGGGAGCCCGATGCAGGACTCGATCCCAGGACCCTGGGATCATGACCTGACCGAAGGCAGACGCTTAACGACTGAACCACCCAGGCGCCCTGTATATTCTTTTTAAAAGACTATTCAAAATTATAACAGTAAACAACAACAAAAGAACATACCTAAGAACCCACTCATTCATCTACCTGATCAATCTTTACTAATTACCATTACATCATATAGGCACTCCATATTACTTTATCACTTGACACCTTACAGTTTTTTAATTTATTATGTTATGTTAATCACCATACATTACATCATTAGTTTTT